CCCCAAAACCCCAAAACCCCTTTTCATCAAAATCTTGAGAAATGAAGTTCGAAATCATTTATATTTCTTGGCTTTATAACTAATATATAAAAAATTAAAAGTTAGTAGTATATCTATGAGACTTTACGAGAAAGCACAATATCTTTCAGGTTACCTCTTGATATTTTCAACAGTTGCAGCAATCTTGGACATTCAGTACTTGATCTTTTCGATCTGCTGTGTTCTGTAGATAGTCGGCTACTTTAAGGAAGGATTAAGAATTCATTAGGTACCAAATATCATTGGATTGTTTGCTTTTGGACCAGTTTGCCTTCTAGAGTCTGAGTATCAATCATACTTTTAGATAGCCTACATGCTATTACTAGGCTTAAGCACATTCGCTCTTGTGTATGGAGAGAGTGATTTTACTGGAATAAAGATAGGCGGTATGTATAAAGTAGGATATAAGATGATCAGAACCTAGGAGTTCGACAATCAAATCGAACTTTACTATCCCATAGACGAGAGTGTTTATGATGAGCATAAGAACAATCCTGATCGTAGACTCTATTTCATTGACAGAGAGAATGAATCTCATTTCATTAGAGGACTCGGCAGGTACTACTGGGTAGGTAAGAACCCTAGAAAGCAGAATATCCCTCATTTTGTCTACTAATACATAAGAAACGAACAGTTAGATGTGATCAAGAATGCTCCTATTGCCTATGACTTTAAGAGTTTGAAAAAGGAGCTTGTACCAATCATCTTCTCTCACGGTTTAGGTTAATGTTCCAAGTTCTACAGTTTACAGTTCCAGGAGTATGCAAGCCATGGGTTCCTTGTAATTGCAATTAACCATTTTGATAATACATGTACTTATACTATTGATAAGATTGGAAAACATTACTATTTTGATTGCTCAAAAATGAGAGAGCATTGGGGTCTAAGAAACACTTAACTTAATTTAAGAGAGCGTGAGATTAAAGCAGTTATTGAAGAAGTGTATATTAAAGTAGGAATGATGGCTAGAATGGGATTAGGATTGGTTAAATTAGCAACTGATAAAATTGTATCTGCTGGACATGAATTCGGTGGCACCACTGCAATCAGAGGAGCTTTTATGGATGGAAGAGTCAAGGCAGTTTTGGCTTTCGATCCTTGGATGTACACTCACAAATCAGAAGCTCACTATGGTTTCATGAAGATTACAAGACCTCTTCTCACAGTTAGCACTGAGCACTTTCCCAAGATGTGTGATTTTGAATAATGGAATGGAGTTAAAGGTCTACACAATCATGCCCATAACTAGCAAGATGAGAACGTTGTCCTCAAGACTGGTTTCCATACAGATCTAACTGATTTCTCTATACTCGCAAGTTTAGAATAACAGTTATTGGAGAGAAGATTACCAAGAACTGACAGAGGGGACCTCTACTATCTTTAGATTCAGCTTGGACTGTAATTCTTGGCAAAGATTGGATTTGCTAATAGCTATACTATGGAGGATATTGAGAAGAGGATTGTTCATCTCAAGAATGCTTATTGCAACTATGATATTGAATATATCCCTAAATAGGAAGAAACAAAGAAAGAACAATGAATATCATTTGTTTAGCTTAAAATTTACTTGATTATCTTATCTTTCCTCAAGGGGTTTTGGGGTTTTGGGGAGATCGGAAGAGCACA